GGCTGTATATATGTATATGGAGAGGGCTAAGCAGTCTAATAGCTTTTAATATATAATTACTATAATTATCGATATCATAAGTTTAGTCTGATCTTCACTGCGGGTAGAAGAAGCATCATATGATTAAAATTCCCTTCAAATAGTTTATATAGAGTGTCTTCAAGTTCTTTCCTTCCGCAACTCTTTCAATTATGGAAGCATTGTCCGAGATAATAGCGTAACTAAATTGAATTCAATTGGATTAATTGAGTTTTGCTTGCGTCTTGTTGAAAGCGTAAAGAGTTGTGTGGGAAATCAAAACAAGTTGCTGTTCATAATTTACTCGAAGCTGCCATCCATTAACTTGATGCACTGCATCAGTGTAATTTGCTCTGTTCAGCTGTTCACCTGTTCCGGGTGATTACTGTTATCTCTCAGATGAGCGACTCTTGGTGTAATCATAATGCAACAGATTGCTGAGTGGGAAAGCTGCTTATCCCCTCCAATACTTTTGCCTCTTATGAAGTTCAGCAAATTATTGTGAATGGGATTTTATATCCCTTACTCTTCTCTCTCCTTCCCACTGATTTGCTTTGTTTTTTTTTTTTTTTTTTATTCGGGGTTGATTTGTATGCAGCGCTAAAAGCTTGAAAAATGTTTCACCCGCACGTGTTTCCTGCGCTTTGATATACACACACGCGCACACACTCACACAGATATTCGAGACACATTATATAAAATAGAATGTGTAGGAAAAAAAAGCACAACAATGAAATGGCAGTTGGGTTTGCGCTGCGACAGTCCCATTACAGTTTTCAAGGGTTGAGGGCTGCCCAACCCCTGGGCAAGTGGAAGAGCATGAAAAGTGTTGCAGTTCGCTTTCTTTTTGCTGTGGGTTTGCTTTTGCTCGTCTTCTTCTTATTTATGTGGCAGATTTTGTTGGGCACATTAGGGCTTCTAATGAATGAGTGGGAAGGCCGGAACAGTACCTCTCTGTGGGGAGTATTCGCACTCGCACTCCCACTCGCACTCTCCCGCTTCGCATTGCAAATTCTTCGGGCTGCATTTCCCAAATTGAATCCTGCGAGAATGCGCGCAGACAAACATCTAAATTGTCAACGTAATGTGACAAAATATCGAAGTCAGCAGGTACGGCCGAGACCGAGCCCGAACCGGCAACAGCCATCAGGACAGTAGCCAACACCCGCGAGGACATCGCCTGACGCCTCTGTCGACTGTGTCGCCTCGGCGACTCAATTCAGCTGTGTGAAGCTTGCCAGGCACGAATTCAATTTCGCGTCCACAGATGCCATTCACCTTCGGCACGTACCACTATCAACGTCAACAAGTTACACACGGCGGGCGGGCGGTCGGTGCTGTCGGTGCTGTCGGTTGCCGGCTGCCAGGTGGGCGTGGCAAACTAAAGTGGAAAACAGCAGTCAGACAATACAATTGCTTCCTTGAATGCATCTGCCGGCTCCACGGCGTCCTTGTCGCTGTCATCCTACATCCGTTGAAATCGTGAGACGTTCCCGCTCTCAGTCCTCTCCACCCCACGCCCTTTCCCGGGCTCCAGCGCCCGTTTCCGCTCCCACTCCTGCCTCAGCTCCCTCTCCCACTCTCAGTTCCCTGTCCGCGCTCCTTGTTAGTCACCATGGCGAATGCTCCTGATGCTTCTGACATTTTATACTGAATTATTTATTTAGTTTTGCTTTCTCTATGTGCTCATTACTTCCTTTTTCTTTGCATACCCTGTAGACGGGAAGGTGCCTCGAATGGGGTAGATTCACTTGGGAAATGATATTGCGAGAGAAATGACGGAAGTTAGAGAGTGGAAGGGTGAAAGAGTAAGGGAGAGATAGAGAGAGACAAAGAGAGGGAGGGAAAAAGAATAAGATAAGATAAAGAGAAAAAGCAGGACAGTTAAATAAGATAGATAGATATGGGTGAAAAGCAGGAGCGATAGCTACAAGGACTGCTAATAAAGATTTTGAACTAGGCTGAGGCTGATGATCTGCAATAGTTTGCTTTCTGTATAATAAATTTCCAATTTTAGAATGAATCTATAGATAGCTCAACAGAGACTCTGCTTGACAATGGCTACTGGGTATTTCTTAGTTGAGCATACCCCTCTCTGTCACTATTGATAGTCTCTTTTGCTCGCTCGCAAAGTTGTGTACGTACTTTGACATTTTTATTGTGCTGCGTTAAATTTGCAGACGACAAAGTCAAGAAGGTTGAAATATAAGCCAAGTCCACGACCAGGGCAAGGCGATCGCTTACGAATCTAATTAAATGTGCGTATGTACTACATGCTCTAGATACGTATGTATGTGTGTATAGCTCTAGATATCTATATAAGTATCTCTTTGAATATATATACATATATATATGTATGTGTCTATATAGACTTTGCGAACTTGGCACCAAATGAAATTGAACAAAATGCGGCTCTCAGACTGTTTGATTACCTCGGAGATTTGCGCTCTACTAAAATTAAATATGACTGAGAAATATTTTCAATTTGTGGACACGCAAACTTTTCTCTCCCTCACGCTCTCTCTTGCTCTGGCTCTCTTTCTCTCTCTCTCCCTCTCTCTCTCTCTCTCCCTCTCTCTCTCTTTATATACATACTATGTATACTCCGTACATTTTGTTACTTGCTTTTGGTTACCCATGGGAAATTTCCTAACAGAAAATAAAAGTTTCTGGTCAAGTGAGTGCAAAACTTTTAAGTGACGCACTTTTTTTTTGCCTCTTCTTCTTTCGCTTCGCCTTATTACTCCTCCCCCTACTACAAGGGGAGTGGACCAACACGCGCTCTAGGTGGTTAAGTGGAACTGGATTATGGATGGCTGTACAATTTATAAGGCTTGACTTTGCTTCACAATGTCTGTGCGTGTATGTGTGTCTGTGTGTGTGCACTTTGATTACAGCTGTTGATTACATTTGCCATTTGTGACCAAGTATATAGAGCTTCCAATAACTGGGGACAAGCGTCAACTGATTTCCTTGCGGAGCGTCCAGATTGATGAGCTTCCTTTACTGTTATGCATTCTTATCAGCTTTTTCAGTTTTTTATTGTTTTTGTGCAGGGCAAAAGCAATGCTATAAAAGTTTCACTTTAAAAATCTGTTTGTTCTATTTCGAGCAAGTTTTTTGCTAGCTCTAGTGACAACATAAAATTGACATCCTCGAATCAGCTGTCATCAGAGTCAATATTTAGGATTATCAATTTTTGAATTATCTCATATTTCTGCCCATGCAGTTACCATAAGTCCAATCGTTCTGGTTTTACAGCTCTGGTAATTTGGGGCAATTGTTGAGATTCCTTGTTTAAGCTCGACATGTGGGAGATTCAGATTTGGATGCCATAAACAAATTCGTAATTGCCTTGTAATGCCTTGTGTTGACAGACGTACGACAAACAGATATGGGCTAGCGCTAGGCGCATTCAGTCAGAGCCAAATGGAATGCTAGAAACAGCAGAGAGCGACGTATGCCTGTATGCATGAGTATGGGTGTATATATGTGTGTGTGTACGGTTGCAAAAAATTAGCATAAAACTTCGATTTCGCCTGCGCACATTGCGGGCGAACGTAAATGGCAAACGGACAGAAAACGAGCCGCAAAACGTATTTGCCAGCCTACAAATGGCAATAGATTGTCGACCATAAACCGAATCGGGCCTTAATGCTCCATACGTACGAGCACAGCACGTGAATGTGAATGTGAAGATGTAACAATATGGAAGAGAGTGAGTGACTATGGGATACCCTAAAGAGAGAAGGAATAGAGCTGAGAGAGGCAGAGAGCGAGAGAGAGAGAGTGAGAGAACGATCATCGTATCTTAATCTTAATTAGTCGAAAAGGTATTTCAAATACATACGAGCACAACTAGATGAGGATGCAAAGATGTAATGAAAAATAATATAATAGCCAAGCAGTAGACTTTTTGATACCCTGTAATTACCATTTTGTCGCGGGAGTAATTCAAAAATAATTTATTAATAATAAAGTGTTATTAAATAGGAAAAACAATGCTTTTCAATTTTCAAAATGTTGAAAAGAAAGATAATTTATTTTAATGCATTTAAAAAATGAAATAAATATTATATATTGTTATTATGTATATAATAGTTATGCTCTATATAAAATATATAGTTATATAAAATATACAATATTCCTTACACAACCAATATTTACTACACTTTCAGCACCCCGCTTAGTACAGGGTATTTTAATTGGCAAAGTGCATAGCTTCACACATCTAAGCTAATTGGTTATTTTGGCATTAATTGCAAATCTATTTCAATGCGATATCCAGCGAAGCTCCGCCCCCTCTGCAAATGCAGCTGAGTAAATCTATAAGCTGAGTAGCTAAACTCCATTGTATGCATACGCTGCGGGCTGAGGGCTGAAGGGAGAAAAGGCAGTCCCGTTCATTTGACTAATTAAATTTGGAAACTTGTCTGCTGGAATTTTATGAATATTTAAAAAGTTTTGCCAAATGATTTGCCTCATCGTCAGAGTTTGGGGGCTGCAAGACAAAGGCCGCAGCCTCCTCAAATTGAAAATTCATCAAAAAAGTTGAATGGTTTGTGTGTAAAATGAATCAAATATTCATACATGCACGCAACTTTTTATTAGTTGTTCCGAAAAAGTTGGATTGGCTAATAATTTGCCAGCTCTCTATCTCTATCTCTATCTCTCCATGTCTAAAAAGCAATTAGCCCTAACTGCTAAAACCACAGAAACTTGTAAGGCTCTGTCGAGTGTTGGAAAAACTATGGGGTTTTCCGTGTTGAGCAACACATTTGCCTATAGATTAATTTGCATGTAAAATCACTGAAAGTAAAATACAATTGCATTTATATTTGCTGTCGAATGCTTTCGAGTATTGGCCAATGCATTTGACTATCGATTAATTTGGTTATGCTCGAATTTCCTATCAACTGATTTTGAGTGTTGGGCAATGCTTCTGTGCTCGAATTTTCTGTTGAGTCTGCGGCGTGTCAGAGCTGAGTTTTTAACTGCATGGAAAATGAAGTCACATGACTACAAATTAACCGAGGAGAACCTCAATTTGCGAAACGATTCGAGCTTTGTGGACAATGTGCTGCGTACCCATGACACTCAGGCCGATCCGGAAGTGCGCCGTTATCTTTTGGACTTGTCCTACAGTAAGCGAATATTTTATAAGCTCATTTGGCCATGAGTACAAAACATTCTTCTCTAATACTTTCTTTCCACTTGCTCCGACAGCCTTGGCCCGCAATCAGCTCGTTGAGGCGCGTCGCTTTGCCAATCTGAGCAACAAGACCTTTATAGATGTGAAGGACTTGCGCGTTGCCAAGATGGACAAAACGGACGACTTTCAGGCGGGTTCGCTGCTGGTGAACAAGTCCATAGTGCAGCCGCTGCCCACGCCGACGGCGACGACGAGCCTGCTGCTGCCGCCCTGGCGCAACTGCCAGGTGGGCGCCAACGCTGAGCTGAAGCAGATCGTGGCCGAGGCGGAGGCCCTGAAGCCAGCAGAGGACGGGCCGGCACCCTGCAAAATAGCTCGCATGCGTGCGCCCAATCAGCCAACAGCGATTTAGTAAATCGTATTAAATTTAATTGTAACAAATACAACTTCATTATAAACATTTGTAGTTTTATTTGCATTTCGCATATTGCTGCTACTTCGTTTTCTTTAGACTGAGGGCTAGGTGTCTTCGTTTGCAGCTTGCTGCTGCAACATTATGTACTTCCTTAGCTGGCGGGCGTATGGGTCATTGGCCTTCTCCTTATCCATTTCATACGCCATCAGATTGTAACCAACCCCACGGCATAAAGGCACGGGCATCAGACACATCCTGCAAATCTTCCTTGTATAGATCATCTCCATATCGTCGCTCGCCTCGAGCGCGCGAAGGTCGTGCAGACTCCTGTAGGCATTGGCCATGCGCTTGTCGCTCCGCGAGGACATCGCGAACGGCACGCGATAGGGCTTCATCGACGCAAAAATTTTCTTCTCCTGCTCCGATGGCTCTTCCTGCTCAAATCGATTGGTAGATATTACAAATTCTTTGACCTACATAGCGACTTACCATGATGCCTTGATTCCACATCTCCTCGAAACTGCTATTATTCACGTTGAAAAGCGAGGTGAAGTTCATTTTTGTAAAGATTGATTCGATTTGTTTTAATGCAAAGCAACAAATTGACTGCGACTGCTGACAGAAAATTAATTGCAATGCTTACTTCAAATATCATTTCATGGCATGCTTTCTATTGTCAGAAATTGGGAAAAGTCTAGAATCAGAAATGCCTACTAGATGACAGAGCATTTTGATTGAGAGCGAGTGTTCTGGAATTCTGCAGTCCAACTGCCATCCAAACTCTTTCCTCATAGCTGCAACTCCTCTAGCTTTCAGTGTATATTCGGTGCAGCTATCTCTAATGCAGCATAGAGTTTCCTGTTTTTTTTTTTTCGCTATATTTTATCCTTTGATCGTGATCAGCATATAAAAATAGTTTAGTGCACTAATCCCTGGAGCTTATAAATATTTATAAACGGAGTGTTTTAGTTGTTCTATGTTAATTAAGATGAGAAGTGGCGGCACAGTTACATTGCGAGCATCTGGCCATGTGGTAAATAATATTTACATGTCTCGGCATTTGCATAGCTAACGACAAAAACTATTTCCCAGCTCAGCCTCTCTCTCTCTCTCTCTCTCTCTCTCTCTCTCTCTGATATAGCCAGCATGGCGTAGGTCCCTCGAGCAGTTTACAAATTAATGCGTACCCGCACGTGTTAATTCAAGGATGTGTGCTCCTACCCCTGCTGCTCCTGCTGGTGCTGCTGCTGCTGCTGGCGCTACTTTATCCCTCCCATAGCCCTGCACAAGGATTCGGCATGAATTTGCATATTAGAAAAAGTTTTTTTGTGCCTGTGAAATGCCAGTTTAATATGCGTGAAGTAGTTTTGTCTGCTTAAGAATAACTAAAACTTGATGTAGTCTAACTTCCATGTGGGCACCCAAGACGGCATCCACCCCGCCCCGCCCACTGCCTGCCTCAGAGTTACGCTCTGTGTGGGCGGCATAAATAATTACGGCACATGTGCTAAACTGCTGCAGCTCTATCTCACAGCTTCGAGCAACAGTGTCTACTGTAAGTTTGCGGAAGGTGTAAAGTGGTTAAGCGTCTTAAATAATTCTTAGCATAGAGTTAGGGTATAATTTGATTTGAAAAGTCCACAAGTCTTTCATCTTTGTTGCTGGTTGCTCGATACTCAAAAAATATACCAAAGAAATTCCAAAATACTGTTTGTGTTAATTTTGTTTGTATATACATATAATAATTATTATCATTTTTTTCAGCATATTGGAATATTGTTATTAGAATTATTGTCAAGTAAAAGTCCTTGATATTTTAGTTTGCTTTAATATATTATATATTTATTAATTTATTAATCTTACTTTAAGCACAAGGAAATATTGTATAATAAAAAAATATATTTTCCGTGTAATATTATTAATATAATTTAATTCTCTTTACTCATTTATTTATTTATTCGATTATTCGATTTTTGTATACAAGATGTAAGCGTTAATAAAAAAGGAAAGTATTAAGGAATAAAGTATTAATTTATTTAGTTAATTTCGTATTTTTATACATTTCGTATTTTATTCTTACAAAGAGCATATTACTTAAATGTTTTGCCTTAAGTTCATAAATTTCTGATTTCGTGGAAACTTTTAGTCGACCATAGCAGCTTCACTTCGGCCTAGCCGCAGCTTGGGCACTCTTCTCGGCGAACATAAACTGAATGAGTATGACCAGATAGGTAACCACAGCGCCAAACATCTGTGAGCAGAGGCAATTTCAATTTAAAATTTGAATTCATTACGCATAAATGAAATTCAAAACCTACGCTACTCAATAGATGCAGATTGAGACTGAAGAAGTCCTTGGCCGTCACCACAAAGCGTTGATGCAGCGTCTGCAGCAGGAATTCGCTGACCAAATCATTGTAGCGCTTGCTGCCCAAAGGCTTCACCAGCTTGGGAATCAAACAGCCAATTTGACGACTCTGAAATGAAAATAGAAATTTAGGATCAACATAGCTTTTTTATATAAATATCGGCTTAGCTCTCACGTGATTAAAGCTTTGCTGGCAGTGCCAACAGGTGACCGTGAGCAGGAGGCCCACGTTGATCATGAAGCCCAGGGAAGGGAACAGATGGACTCCGCTCTGCGACCGGATCAGTGTGGTCTTGGCCAGCCAATAGGCGCTGAACACAAAGTCAAAGCACAGGACTATGAACACGATGAGCATGCTCAGGCCGTAGGCTGCGTTGAGCTGCACAAAGAGCAGATGCAGCTGTCTGTATTGATCTTTGAGGCGCACCAGCTGCTCCACGTCGGGGAGCTGCCTGGAGCGAGTGCTTTGTGCCGCCAGCTGCTTCAGGCTGCGTCGCATGCCCAGCACCCGCTCATTGGCCGCCAGAACCTCAGAGAGGAACGCAATCATCTTCAGCTGCACCACCCAGGCACTCGGCGCGCTTAGCCAGAAGATGGGCGTGTACCACTCCCACTTGGTGTTGAGCCGGAACCAAACGATTAGGCTTTGCAGTGCAGCCAAGAGAAAGACACAAAAGACACAGATCAGCTCAGTTTGTACTTTTCGGTCCGTGAACTGATTCACGGCCAACTGCAGCTCCAGCTGCCGATGCGTGCGACGCTTGAGAAGGGTGTCCAGCAGGACGAAGCCATGCGCTGAGCTCAGCATTACGAACATGGTCATTATTATCAGACAGTCGAGACTGCAGTACGGAATCGCCAAGATGTAGCGCGGTACTCCAGTCCAGACCGCAATAAGCCAGCAGAGCCACAAGCCGAAAGGCAAGAGCTGCAAGCGATGCAGCCGCGAATTGCATCGCACGCCCATGCAGCACAGCACCAGGTGAAAAGCGGCTCGTCCCATCATAACCGAGGCAGTCGAGGGCTGCAGCTGGACTAAGGAGTGGATGGTCTAATGATTTCGTGAGAGCTGAGGCAAGCTTTGTTGCTCCATCAATTCGTCACTGTCATAATTATTGAGCCTGATGGAGTTCTGATTGATTCTGCCTTATCATGGCAATTAGCAGGTGAAAATAGGTTAAGTGATGAAGGTGAGGGTGCCCCAGGCCAGACTACTCGACACGGAAACGAAGAGTTCATATTTTAATCATTCTAGTTGATTAGTCAGAGCGAATATCACATGCACTTGCGCATACACACACACATACACTTACACTCATGAGCATGAGCTCATGAACTTGGACTTCGCTTGATCTCTGCTTTGACTGCGCTTGCGTTCTTTTGTAATGGTAGTGCTCCTTGAGCGCTGCTTCTGCCTTATATGCACTGGGCAAATATAGGGCTGCGCTGCTCATGCTCTGCTAAGACTCTGCTAAGACTTTGCTAAGACTCTGCTAAGGCTGTGTTACGTTCTGTTAGGCTTTGTTATGCTCTGATTTTACTATTCTGGGGCTCTCAACGTTCTTGAGCTTTGTCTGGAATGTGCTCGATCTCTGATTGTATTGTGCTCAAGCTCTACCTTATACATATGTGCCTTTTTCAGGCTCTGTTTAAGCTCTGCTTAGCCTCTGTTAGGCTCCGCTAAGGCTCTGCTTAGGCTCTGTTAGGCTATGTTGGGCTCTGTTAGGTTCTTCTTAGGCTAAGTTTAAAAGCTCTCAAAGCTCTTAAACTCTTGGGCTGCAGTATGCGACATACTATGCATAGCTTTTTGGTTAGACGGAATTTCTGAAGCTTTCAAAGCTTAAAAATTTTAATATTTAATATACAGTTACACTAATACAAGTCTTTATCATATGAAATACGTCTATTAAAAGTGTATGAGGAAGGGGGTGGTAAATGAAATTCAAAATATAATACAGTTAGTCTGAAGTGTCTGGATCTTCTGCCTGTTACATACATTTTTACAAAACCATTATACACTGATGCAAGAGTGATGAAGAGGTCTCTTAACAAAGCACTGTGTTTCAATAATATCTTCACACCCCATTCATAATAAAGTCCTTCTCTCATCAACTCATTTCATCTACTCACATTATTGGCACTTGCGTCGCCGTACCAGAACAGCGCTGTGACGAGGGAGCCGATGGTGAAGCAGGTGTTGCCATTGAAGATGAATATGTAGAGCCGCTGGGAGTCGTAGGCCTCTGTGATGAACCAGTAGGCATTGGCCACGAACTCAAAGCTGCACAAGAGCTGCAGGCAGAGCAGGCCCCAGCCGTAGCAGTCGTTGAAGAGCTCGTGGCACTCGTAAATGCGCCCGTAGCTGAGCCGCAGCGTCTGCAGGTGCTTAAAGTCGGAGAGGCTGTAGGGCAGCCAGAGGTCGTTGCCGGCGGCCAGGCGCAGCAGCGAGTGTCGCAGCTGCACGGCGCGCTGATTCAGCTCCATGATCTGCCGGATCAGCTGGATGATGTGGAAGCGCACCTGCCACTTCTGCATCAGGGAGACGATGTGCACCGGAGATATGCTGTATTTGGAATTGGCCCAGGACTTCACAATATCACTGGCCAAATGTGCGCCTAGTAGGAACAGCAAGCGTCCGGACCGGTGGCCGTAGTGCGAGCTGCTCAGCCTGTTCATCTGCAGCTCCAGCTGAATGCGATAATCCTCCAGGCGCGCATACGATCGCTGCTTTAGTATGGTCTGGGCCTGGATGAGCAGACCCAGCATCGAGTAGCCAATGAATAGAACTGATCCGGTGAGATAGCTGACGCTCATGCTCCTATCCACCAACACATAAGAGATGCCGGTCCACAACATCCACAAGAAATAGGACACCCAAATGAGGCGAATAAGCATGGCTAGCAGCATCCTCCAAAGTGGAGACACTGGTGGCAACGGCACCAGACCCATCCACCAATAGATGCCCTGCAGACAGCGAGTGAAGAGAGCCTCTAGCGAATTCATACTGCTGCTGAAGAACTTGCAATCAGAACTAAAGGGAAATATTCATAAAGGTAGTTTTGAAGGAGCTATTAGTAGGGCAATAAATCATGGCAACAATTAGATTGGCTGACTGGCTAAATACGTTTAACTGTTGAACTATTGAGAGTGGAGAATAACAAAGGTAGGAGGAGAGAGAGAGAGAGAGAGAGAGAGAGAGAGAGAGAGAGAGAGAGAGAGAGAGAGTATATGGACAATCTTATACTACTATAAGCTAATTTTTGTAAAGAGCTGGAATCATAGAAAAGGTTAATTTGACATAATAGTTGATAAAGCTTCAGCCTGAATTTATAGAATAATGGAAATGACAACTTTAAATAATAATAAGAATAATAAGAATTTATATAAAATATATATTTCAGATTAAAATCTGTATATACTAATTTAAAATAAGATATAATCACAATAAACACCATCCAGCCGAAGGCCCCTGCTTCCAGTGCTTAGCCTTAAGTTAGAGTTCATTTTATATTAACTGTAACTTCTTATAAATAAATCAACAAATATTTCAGAACTAAAAACTTGACGTCGAAATAAACAAAAATGAAGCATTTTTACTGCAAAAATAATTTCTTTTTTTTACAAAAATTGTTACATTGAATATCAATGTTTAATTTGTAAAATTTTCACCATCCCTATATACTTTTTTACTTGAATTAAGTGTGCTCGCAGCGAAATTTTAGTTTTGTAATGCATGATGAATTTTATCGAGAAATTGCCTTAAATAGTGCCGAATTTATCCATTCGAGATTTTGGGTCTTTTTTGGGCGAAACTTTGTGGCCTGCAGCAGTTCGAGACGAAAATATCTTAGCAAACCACTAAGAAAGTGCCGATGCTCGATGTGATGGCAATAGAGCTGCCGAATCCGATTAAAAAGTTCCACCATCAAAGTTGCCACTCATTCGCTCTCTCTCTCTCTCTCTCTCTCTCTCTCTCTCTCTCTTTCTCTGTCTCTCTCTGTCTACCTCTCAATGTATCTGTCTTTATCTAGCTTTGCGGCGCAGCATTGTGGGCGCAGTTCAAATGGCTCCCGGTTTATGAATTATGTATTCTAGCCAAAGGGGAACTTTGCGTTCAAAGCTAAAAATTATCCACGTTTTTTTTGCTCCCCACTCGGTTGGCAACTGGAAAAAAGGGTTGTGGCTGCTTTGAAGATTAGGTTGAACAGGAGGCCAGCGCCAGGCTGCTCTTGTGGTCCACCCCAAAGACACCCGCTGCATTTAAAGGAGCGCTCAAAATGCATAAGTCTCAAATACTTGTATAGCTGTTGGGAGTTGCGCATAAGTATTTATTCATAATTTATGCCAGAAGGGGATGTGTGTGTGTGGGATGGTGACTAGCAGATACCCTTTAAATGCGAGAGAGCTATGTCTGAGAGTATGACTAGCACTTACTCTTTGCTATGGCTTGATTGAAGATATTTGGGAGCATAAATGGGAGTCTGTGTTATTGGCGAATGTATGGGATATCGGTTAGCAGATACCCTTTAACACAGAAAGTAAATTAGTTGGGAGATGTGTAATATTTGACTGGACTAGAAGAAGTTCGGGAAGATGACGCGGGAATACCTCTTACTTTGTTAAGTAATGAAGTATGGAATTATGACCTCAGTTCCGTGGCTTTAATTTATTTTATAATATTTACGTCTATTTATTAAAAATAACAATGAAAAGCTGAGAGCCTATATAGAGCTGGCATATAGTCCATTTTTGATATTAACATTACATGAAATATCTATTTTATCTATATTTATATATACATATACAATTGGAATTTATGATATACATACATGTTATATTCTGTAAAAGTAATCAAGCTTTTAGTCTATAACACCCTCTCTCAACAATTTGTAATAATCGAGCAGTTCATACAAGTTTTTAAGTTTTTAATTTTTCGATTAACTTGCAATTAGATGCGTCTGGAAATATACTATGTGATATTTTGTTTTCCTTTTTGCTGTGAGAAGTTTTTAACATTTCATAAAGATTTGCACTTTGCATTCATAAATGCTTAATCAAGCTGTGGCCACAAATATTGCAGCACTTCTCTGGCTCTGGCTCTTACTCGGACTCTGGCTCGGACTCGGACTCCAAGTGAGATAAAAACTGTTGTCAGGTGCAATGTAGTTTGCGAGAAGTTGTTGGTCAACCGCAAAGATTATGCGACGCACTTCTCGACCAGGTGCCCAGCCGAGTGCACTGCAATTTAATAATGACTCGAACACGAACTGGCAACTGTCAGAGAGATTGGAACGGGCTCACGGTTCAGGCTTGGTTACTCTGTGCTCCATGCTGCCCAACTGAACCACAAAGCGAGAATTTTGCATATTTAACAAGCGGAATTTAAATGAAAATTAATGCCAGCTGCCTCGGTTGGCAGAGGAAATGCTGCAGGAAATGGAGCTGACGTCAAAAATGATGTGGAAAGCGCCGATGAGTCGCCGAAGAAGCTGGCTATGAAATACCCTGTCGGATCGGTAAAGGTTGACAATTAATTAATATTATTGTCTCTTTGTTCGACATATATACATACATATGTATGTATGATTCATATATACATATAATAAAGTCATTTCAGTTAGTCGGGTGCTCGGAATAATCATCAAATGATATTATTATTCCTTAAAAGGGCAACATAGTTACTTAAGGATAATTAGGTCAGTTTACCCATTTGTTTATCAATTTATAATGGCCGAATATGTTTTTCATGTTTTTCAAATCATGATTGTCATCTGAGAGCTTTCAAATGAAGACATCGACCTTATCTAGATGTATAATTTTTCTATACTCGCAGCAAAGTTTTGGTTGCTATTTAATATTTACTCCATCGTACATTAATATAAACTCTTTATTAGTATTAGTCACCAACATTGCTTTTATATCCGATGCTTTTCAGCTGCAACCGCTTTTCCTTTATTAGGGCTATCTCATACACAGATAATGGAAGGAAAAGTAGGAGAAGAAGAGAAAGTTTGTGAGTAGAAAAACTTGGCCAGCAATTTGTTTGTATTTGAATTGCTGCAGCATAACCGAACCGCAATTGGACTTAATTGGACTGCATACGGATAATCGTAGTCGTTTACCTGTGAAACCAGAAAATTGGACTGCAGCAGTTTGAAAGTGTCACGTAAATTGAAATTAACAGCAATTTTCCACTGCTGCCGGCTGCTGCGTGTTAATATTAGTATGAAAACTCGCATTTGCCATGCCGCCTCCTCCAGCCGTCCTCCGGCCACGGGGTAAGCGCTTTGGCTTCGTGGACAAGCCATCGATGGAATGTCCTATGTGAGAAGGGGCAATGAAAATACATAAATCTCAAAATTCCATGTATTTGAGCACCAATAAATTTTCATTTTGATAAACCCTTAAGCCTTTTCATGGCCGAAACAAACTTTTGTGATTTATGAAGTTTTCAGCTACTTCGCAGCCCTCGTGGCAATAAAATACAGCCCACATTCGACATCTCAGATACACAACTTTGTGTTTATGTATTTACATTTTAAAGACTCGAACAGAAGACAAAAAAAAAAAATACGCACAATAATCTTTATGAGACTTAACAATAAAGCAGTGAAAGAGAATACCTCTCTTGCACTCTCTCTCTCTCTCTCGCTGTCTCTCTATCCGCTCTTCGTTGAATATCTATCGAGAAAATCGCATAAAAATACATTTTTTTACATAAACTAAATCAAGTGGAAAAAGATTTGAAATAAATTCAAAAAATAAAAATAAAATATTTATAGTCTCTTAAATCTTCTTTCTTTATAAATTCCATTTATTGAAATAACAAAATGTTGCGAATTTCAAATTTGAGTCGTTTGTAATTTGCGCACAGCTTGCGCTGATGTATGTATATATATGTATATATATATATATTCGTGAAGAAATGAGACATGCTGGCATCTAATATGGCTGATTTCCATATGGCAGCGCGAGGACAAGTACATGACATGGGGATGACACCAACAGCGTCAGCTGGCGATCAAAGTCAAATTAAATTGAAACAACTTTTTGGCGTTGCTCGGCCCCTCACATATACATACATATACATATATTATATATATATTGCTTACATACATATCAGCTGGCAGCAGTTAGTATGTCCAACATGTTCCTTTCATATTGCGTATTACGCACTTGTTTCCAAGCACCCATCGCTCAGTCATCCAGAACGTGACACCGCATGCCAAACGTTCATATTGCTAGTTCATATGAG